GGGGAGTGCGTTGTGCGGGGGCCGGCTGGTGCAGGGCAGGGGAGTGCCATCTTGAAGTCAGGAGCTGCTGGTTTCCAGCGCATGGCTTTGCCGAGACTGGGCCTGAATCTGCTGGCTCATGTCCAGGGCTGCAGGGAGGGTGTCCAGGACCCCAGATGACCTCGTGTCAGGAATGGGCAGCCCACTGGACTCCATTGCCAACACAGGGGGAGAAGAAGGGAGACCTGGGTACAGAGGCCGCAGACCACAGGCAGCTGAGGGCCTGGCCAGTGGGGAGCCCGTGGGCAGCTCTGGGCTGTGCGGGAATGGCCTGGCTTTAGTGCTTGCTGTGGGAGCAGCCCGGCCAGTGCCGCCTGGGCCCCAGCATGGCAGCGGTTGAGGAGGTCCCTCTGGGAAGGGGGTGACCTTGGGGCGCGAGATGTATTTGTTAGGACTCTTGGCATTGCCGGGGGCAGAAAGGCGATCCAAATGGGCTTGGTAAAACAAACTGGTCGGGGAGTAGGAGAAGACTCAGAAGACGCACCTCAGGCTGGCCCAGGAGCTCCAGTATGCCACCCCTCCACTTGCCCCTTGGAGCTGGCTTGGATCCCTGTGGGCCCTTCCTGGACCTCCACTCTCAGCCCCTTTTGGAAATGGGCCTGCTGTGGCCCCGCTTCCAGCAGCCCCCCACGCCAGCCAGCGCTGCACTGGGGCCCGTTCCTCACCCGGAAGGTGCTCCCTGCCCTGTCAGCTTTGACTGGGCTTGCGTGCCACAGTTGTGGGGTGGCTTGGGGACAAGGCCAGGCAGGAGGGGCAGAGATGATGTTGCAGAAGACGTGCAGTCTGGTGTCAGGGAGAGTGGGCTCTGGGTGGGATGGGGTGGAATAAAGAGCTAGTCCCTCTGGGTCTCCCTCGGCAGCCCCCCTGCCACATCCTTGCTGGTCCCCGGGTCTGGGTCTGCACTCCACCTTGCAGGTCAGTGGGAGGCCCCCAGCCTGGCCACAACCTTCCCCCCGCCCCCAGGTGGAGAGCAACTTCAGCAGCTGCCAGCAGTTCCTCATGCAGGCCTTGACTTACCTCGACAGCCCCCTCCAGGGCCTCAAGCTGGCGGCCATGAAGTTCATTGGTAGGTGCCAGCTGTGGTCTGTGTGCCAGCCATGGGTCCACTGGCCCTGACACCCCCTGCCCCCACATTGCCTGGCCTAACCCCCGGCTCCAGGCCCCGAGTGGTGAGCGGGAATGGATCGG